ATTGTCTCTGCTCTGGAGATGCACATTTGTCTTGAAGGTGAAGAGGAGCAGTAAATCAATTCTAAAGCTCTATTCTAAGCCATGATTCTGTTTAGCCCTATAAGGAAACAATAGTGCTCAGTACCGGCTCCATTTTTGCAAAGGAGCTAGAGGAATGGTGGCGGAGAGTGTTGAATCATAGGGTCTTACCCACTCAGCCGGTGCTAAGTGATTAGGGACCCACTCAACAGCAGATGAGGCCAAGGCAGGAGTGAGCCTCCAGATAAAATCCCCTTCTGGCCCCCCACCATCTGGCTCTATTCTGGAGGGCTAGCATGGTGGCTATCCCACTATTGCAGTGGCTGCAACAGCAGTGGCAGGATTCTTTGGCTTTAATCCACAACCCCTTTCTCCCCTAAACCCAGGCGGCCTCTGTAGGTTCCCATGACAACAGCATGCCTGGGAAGGACCAGCTTGAGGAAAAACCAGATTTTACTGTAAGAAAAAACTGGCCAGAAGCCACAGGCCGGGCAGGCTGGGACACGGGCTCTGCAGTGGGGCTGGGTCCTGGGACACGAACCAGAGAGAGGAGTGAGCACCAGCTCTGTGCTAGGAGCTGACACTTTTTGAGCACTTATAATAGCCAGATACTATTAAATGTGCTGTGTATGTATTGACTTATTTGATCCTCATGACAATGAAGTAGGCACCATAGGTGTTATCCCTGTTTTACAGGTGAGGTGACAGAGGTATGGTGAGGTTCAAACCTGGCAGTCTGACATCAGTGCCTGCATATGGACCCCTTGGAAATCAACTCTCATCTCTGCAGCCTCCAGCAATTGATAAATGACAGTTTCATTCTATCCTCACAACATTTTTCCAAGATTAAAGATTATTATTCCCATGAGGAACCCATCTGTCAGAGAGGTTAAGCAATGTGTCCCAAATCACACAGCTAGCAAGTAATAGAGCTGGGATTTGAACTCAGATGTGTCTGAACCCAAAGCCCATGGTTGCTACTAAGATGCCAGGAAATAGATCTGAGCCTTCCTATCCTCCCATAAGCCTGGGAAAAGGGTCACGTAGCGTAGGCTAGCTTTAGAGATATGAGTGGGGTACATTTCTGTGTCCTCAGTGCCGTGCCAACCCTCTCCCAACACATACACACTCACACATGCACACACACATGCACGCACGCATGGGCGTGAACACAGGCCCTGGCAGGCAGACGCTGCCCTCCTCTCAGCCAGGAATGGGCCCGCCTACTCACAACAGGCTTCCCAGGCTGGTGAGCCTGCCCACACCTGATTGCCTCACCTGGGAGAGGCTGCTAGAAGGCATGGAAGGCGTATCTCCCCACCCCAACTCATTCTGTGTAACCAGGCTGGGGCTTCCCAAGGAAGTGAGAGAATTCCTGAAGTCTGTGAGACCCCTGGGATGTTTTGGGTTTTCTATTTCTAAACCAAGTGGGAGCCTAAACTTCAGAGCCTGGAGGACTCTTCCTATTGTTCTTCCAGTGTTTTTTTTTGAGAGAATCCCGCTCTGTCACCCAGGCTGGAGTGCAGTGACGTGATCACAGCTCACTGCAGCCTCAAATTCCTTGGCTCAAGTGATCCTCCTGCCTCAGCCTCCCGAGTAGCTGGGACTACAGGCACACAGCACCATGCCCGGCTAAGTTTTCAATGCTTTTTGGTAGGGTCAGGGTCTCACTATGTTGCTCAGGCTCCAGTGTTAATTTTTTACTTAATGTATTGCATTACCTTTCTCCTGACTTGATTATTTTCTAGACGGTGGCCTTTGATTTGTTTTTTTTGTTTTTTTTTGAGACGGAGTCTTGCTCTGTCGCCTAGGCTGGAGTGCAGTGGAGCGATCTCGGCTCACTGCCACCTCTGCCTCCTGAGGTTCAAGTGATTCTCCTGCCTCAGCCTCCCAAGTAGCTGGGATTACAGGTGCCCGCCACCATGCCCGGCTAATTTTTGTATTTTTAGTACAGATGGGGTTTCACCATGTTGGCCAGGCTGGTCTCAAACCCCTGACCTCAAGTGATCTGCCCACCTCGGCCTCCCAAAGTGTTAGGATTACAGATGTGAGCCACTGCGCCCAGCCACCTTTGATTTTTAAAAGTTCCCCATTTCCTGTGGTAAGTGCAGTGGCCCTCTGTCTATGTCTTTCTATCTTATCTCTGATAGACTAGTCCATATTTTCCACTGGGAGCTTACCTCTAAAATCACATTTGCATAAGATCAGTCATTCCACAGATATTGATCATATGGCTTCCCCTCAAAGGCAGGATGTACATGGGAAACTAAAGACACATTCAGACCCACCCCTTCCCACCCCTACTGAATTAAAGAGAGGCAACAGAAGCCTCAGGTTCTGCCAGGTTCTCCTGGAGATGGTGGGTTAGATAAGGGGAAGAGACCTGTTGACCTGTCTTGCTGCAGAAAGCTCTACACATTTGATTCCTGGAAGCAGAGCAAAGGTTCTATCCCCAACATCATCAGTCTGACCAGACTGGGGACCATCTAGTTTCCAGTGAAGCATCCACCTAAAGTCCTTGGGGGAGGAAATGGAAATTATCTTAAGAGGCTTGGACACCCCAGCTTTCTCCAGCCTCTGCAGACCCTGCCACGCCTGCACATAAACCCCATTTCTTCTCCATGCCAGACTGCAAAGAATTGGAGTAGCATACTGAGCACACTACAGTTTCTCCCTGGTGTAGATGTTACCCTTGAAACCCTTCTTTGGAAGACCCACACATCCATCCACAGGACAGCATGGACTCCAACGTGGGGTGGGTAAGAGAGAGAGAGGCTGCAGACTCAGAGAGAAGGAGAGCAAGGAAGTGAGGAGATGGGGCTGCTGGGAGAGAGAGGAGGGAGGTCAGAGTTGGGGACCATGCCCAAAATATGTCAATACCGTGTCTGGTTTTTTCACTCTGGGGAGAGGAGACATCCCTGCTGCCTGCAGTACTGAGCACCTGTGCTCCCCACAAGCCCCCTCCACCTGGCCCGGGCACGCAGTGGGCATTTAGTAAGTGCACACTAGAGCTGGTGGTTATGTTGATAAGATGACGGCACACCACTCAGTCTGCAAAGTCCAGACTTCTGTCTCTCTCACCCCCTGGGAATTTCATAAATAAATCCCTGGAGCTGTTCCAAGAAGAATTTCAAGGCTTCTCTGTGTGTGTATGTGTTTCCAGAAACACAACAATTTTACATGATGCCTGGTGTGCAAACTCCTAAGCAAACCATGGAGAGGAATGAGGACTTGGGCATGGCAAAGAGGAGGTGGACAGACCGGGTCAGGCTGGGCTGGCGCAGGCCAGGAAACCAGCAGTCGACGGCGGCGGTTTGAGCCCAGGCTTTGCAGCTGGCAGCTGCTAACCTGGCTCCCCAGACGCCCAGTCTGCCCCAGGCTCAGATTGCCCAGCATCCCCTCCCCCACCCTTGGGCTTTGGCAGGATTCTCCATCAGGTTTTTGCAAAGTGCTGGGGTCTTAAAATAGCATAAAGGCCCGCACAAGCACACACACACACATGCATGCACACGCACACACACATTTAGACTATAGTGTCAATTCCCATACCACAGAATGAGGATCAAAAAGGAGGGAGAGTAGAGGGTGGAGCGAGGACTTCAGGGCATCTTCCAGAGCTGAGAGCAGTGAGAGACCAGGCAGGAAACAGGGGTGGCACTCAGTGTGAAGAAGGGGAATGGGGAGGAGAAAACAAGATAGAGCCTGTTTTTGGGTGTGTGTGACAACGTGACAGGGCTAATAGTCATGTCTGGAGTGTGTGTTTATGTGTAGCTGGGATCATGAAAGCAAAGGCTATGTTGGTGTGACCAGTTTGGCAAGGGGAAGCTGGATTTCCCTCCTGGACTGTGAACTCCTATGGGCCAAGAACTAAGAACTTTATCCTCATCATTCCCAGGGCCTAGCCCACTGCCTGACACAGACACTAAATACGTGTTCCAAGAATAAATAGATGATGGATGGATACATGGATTTGCTAGAACATTAAGTGGTAACCATAAGGACAGTACAATTTCAAAGGGCAAAATTGGAAACGGGCACTGCAAAGTTAGAAGATGTGGCCAATCCACAAGTACGTACTGGATGTTGAGAAGGAAAGGGAAGTGACCGCCACTGTGGTAGGGTTTGGGATCTCTCTGGGGAAGATGAGACGAACACAGAGAGGTAGGCAGAAGGCTTCCCAGAGGAGTCAGGCCCTGAGCTGGTCGAATTACTTGAGCTGATGTTGTAGCCAGGGCTCACAGGCTATAAGGACAAACATGCTCAAACCAGTGGAAGCGAAAAGAGAATTTCCTGGGAAGATAGATGGGAATCTCAGAGAACTCAGCAGTGGAAAATACAGTCAGATCTCATGGGATCTGAGAAGACGCTGGGCTGGTTGTATGTTGGGGACTCTGTTAGAGTGGGTGAGGCCAGAGGGTGTGTGTGCATGGACACATTCCCAGCACACCTGGGGTAAACAATGGGGGTCTCTGGTCTCTCCTTTCCCTGGGCCTCTGCTCCACTCTCCTCTCCTGGCTCACCCTGGCCCAGGGTAGCTTCCAGCTAGTCTCCATTGCCCGCCCCCACCTAAGTAACTCGGTTTTCATAACTCCTTAATTCAAATGCTCATGAGAAAGGACTTGCATGGCTCAGCCAGTTTATTTCTTGCTTTCCCTTGGTTCAATGCCCAGCCCTGGTGCAATCACCTATGGCCAGAGGGCAGACCATGCAAACTCCCCTAGGAGAAGTGGGTGTAGCAGGTGACAGCGACAGACTCTGGTGATCCAGATAGGAGGAAAACTACATGAGGCACTTGGTTGTGTAGTGTGTGTGTGTGAAGGGGTGGATGGAGGAAGCCAGGGCAAAAGAGGAGCTGTCAGGACAGGGGTGAGCCAGGTGACCTCTATGCCTCAGTTCCTTGTTTCTACTATGGGGTGAATACTACTACTCTCATGTGGTTGCTGTGAATATTGAGTAAATAATCTGCGTCAAGTTCTCAGGAGTCAATGTTCTCTACAGCCTTTAGCAATTGATAAACAACAGTTTCATTCTATCCTCACAACATTTTCCCCAAATTAAAGATTATTATTCCCATGTTACAAAGGTCAGAGAAGTTAAGCATGTATATGCAGTCTCTGCATGTATTGTGATGTGCAAGAGAGTTAGGATGGATAGTAAGTTCTCATCACGTAGAGGCCTCACTACAGTTTTGGCTCCGCCCTGGGCAAGTCACGCATCTTTTCTGAGCGTCAGATTCTTCATCTGTGAAACAAGGGAGTCCAGCTGAATCATTTCTCAAATCCCCTCTTAGTTTAGAAAGCCATGCTTTTGGCATGGCCATAGGGAGCCTGTGGATTCTGAAGAAGGCAGATGACAGACAAAATGAAGGAGGCTTTCTTAGAATACAGTTATGTCGCAGGGTGCCTTGTAGACTGGAAGGAGGGTGACCAGGAGGCAGGGAGGTTACAGCACCAGTAGTCCCAGAGATGTGTTGTGTAAGGTTCTGGACTGTAGCATCGCAGGAGGGGACTGGCCAGATAGGCAAAAGCTGTGAGGTCTACAACAAAAGGAAAATGATCAGGAGAGCAATCCTGTTTGGCCACTGGGCATCCCAGATAGATAGAAACTGATGTATTAATCATCAAGGCTGAGGGCACAGGGCCTATTTCCAAGGAGGCACTGGGGGATGGATGGGGTAGGGGGAGGATGAGGTCAGTGTGAGGGTTAAAAGAACGAAAGAAGGCTTGCTTCTAAAAATCATGCAGTTGCCTCTGGAGTAGAAAGTGAGCAATAAAAGCCTGAGAGGGTTTTCTCCAAGTACATCACAGCTCCGCATCATCCCATGGGACTGCTAAGCACAGACTACAGGCTGCTGACCACAGCAAGACCCTAACACTGACTCTGGCCTCTGGGCTTCTCGGGCCCAGAGCAATCCCTCTAACTAGCCCCCATTCTCAGCCACCAGGCATATCCCATCCAAGTTCTTTCCATTGCCTAACCTGCCCTCCCTCTGCTTCCCTCACCACCCTGGCTCATTTGTCCCTTCACCAGCTGCTATGGCCCCACCCCTACACCTTCAACCTCCAAATGGTCCCTCTTCTGCTCCCAGCCTGGACTGCTAAGCATTTCCCAAAGAAATGGTAGAGGCTTGTTATGACCTCAACTTTATGTTCTGTAATCCTGCCTGGGCCCCAGTACCACTCTGACAATCCCTTTCTGCTTTTCTATGTTCCTGGACACCACACCCATTCTCCACAGTGGCTTTTTACAAATCCTTACCACCTTCCTCAAGCACATCTACCATCATATACCACCATGCGCCCTGAGCATACTGTACCAAAACAGAGGGCCTGACTGAGAACATCAGGATGACCCTTCATGCCTATAAACTTTCTCTTGGTTTACCTCATTCCTTCAGCTCTAGCAATCTCCTCCAGGCCAAGGCTAATCATTGTACCTCTGGATCTTTATCCTGTGCTTCTCATCTACCCTGGGTACTGGCTCAATTACTTACTACTTCTTCTTCCTGTATCTTTGAACTCTTCTTGGCTCTTTTACTGCAGTCTAAGCTACAGTCTTTCTGTTCTTATTAAAGCAACAAAAGGGAGTAAACACTCCCTTCACCTTGTGTATCCTTCTGAAATCCCCTTTTCTTTTTCTCTTGTCCAGTCTGGAAATCTTTATTTTTAAATTGGATTATTTAGTTCATTTACATTTATTGTAATCACAGATATATTTGGATTTATTTTTACCATCTTATTTTCTTCTTTCTATTTATCCCACTTTACCATAGATTCAGTATCACTTGTCTTGAGACCAGAGTGTTTTGGATTTCAGAGTTTTTAAGATTTTGAAATATTTGCATGGTACTCACCTGTTAAGCATTCATAATCCAAAAATAAAAAATCTGAAATGCTGCAATGAGCATTTCCTTTGAGCATCATGTCAGTGCTCAGAAGGTTTCAGATTTTGGAGCATTTTGGATTGTGGATTTTTGGATTAGGAATGCTCAACCTATATTGTCCTTTTTATTTCCTTTATCAGTTCCTTTTGGATTATTTTGTATAATTCTATTTCTTCATTCTCTTAACCTATAAGTTATACACTCTGTTTCTCTTCTATTAGTGAATACCTGTTAGTAAAGTATGCATGAATTCATACATAACATATATTTTTTATTTAGCCCTTGATCTTTAAAGCCATTTCTTTGAGTATACAATTTTAAGTTGACTGTTATTTTTCTCTTGGGCCTATTTTGGATTTTTGTCTATGTAGATTATTTTTCTTAAAATTTGGTCTGTGAGAATTCCCTGTAGCCTGAATTGAATTTGGGTTCCTCTACAGATGATTTGCTCTTATTTCTTCCACGTACTACCAGGAAGTACAACGGGCCTCAGACCACTTGAATCTAAATAGTGTGTAGTTTTTCAGACCGCCTAGATTGGGTGAATTTTGAATAAAATCACATCATGGAGGCCAGCTTGCCGTTATGAATTCTCAGGGGATATTTTCTCCCATTCTCACTCGGAGCCAAGGTTTTGTTTTTTGTTTTCTTTTGAGACAGAGTCTCACTCTGTCGCCCAGGCTGGAGTGCAGTGGTGCGATCTCAAGAGCCAAGGTTTGAGTCAGACAGTTTTCCTTGCAGTCTCCTGAAAGAGTGAATTATTTATTTTTCTTTTTTCTTTTTCTTTTCTTTTTGAGACAGAGTTGTGCTCTTGTTGCCCAGGCTGGAGTGCAATGGTGTGATTCCGGCTCACTGAAACTTCCACCTCCCAGGTTCAAGTGATTCTCCTGCCTCAGCTTCCCCAGCAGCTGGGACTACAGGCACACGCCACCACGCCTGGTCAATTTTTGTATTTTTTCTTTTTAGTAGAGACGGGGTTTCGTCATGTTGGCCAGGCTGGTGTCGAACTCCTGACCTCAGGTGATCCACCTGCCTTGGCCTCCCACAGTGCTGAGATTGCAGGTGTGAGCCACCGTGCCCAGTCTGAGGAGTGAATTATTTCTAGTGCTTCCTTAGATGAAGTGTATTACCCTTTGTGGGTCACAGCTTGTGCACAGGATCTGTTATTAGATACCCCACTTTGGATGAGCTTGAGCTCTGTCTCCTATCCCCTATATCCTGCTTGCCTGTGAAAATCAAAGTTCAAGCTCGCCGGTATGCAAAGGCTCTGAACAGAAAAGCCAGCTTTGGTGATCAGCTTTCCTCTTTGATTTTTAGTTTTTTACTTGAGTATTCACTTTCTTGCTAGTTTACTGAGCATTTTGAGTTGTTTTCAGCAGATTTGCTCAAGGAACCTGGTTTACCATTCCAAAGGAAATCCAAATTTCCCCCTCCCATCATAGCCAAGTTATTTGAAATAATAGGTGATACTCAGTGTTTCTAAGCCTTCACTCCCATTTGTAGCCTCCTGAAGTTAGGCCTTCACCCCATCCTCCACTGAGCCTGCTCAGGCAAACGTCACCAATCAGAAGTTACCAAAATCCTCAGAGACTTGTTCCTCATCTTACTTGACCTCTTCTCAACATTACAAACTACGGACCTCTTGAAAGCTTCTCTTGCCTTGGTTTCTATTATTCTATTTTTCCCAGGTTCTCTTCCTACTTCCATCACTGTTCCTTCTCTCTTCCTTTTTCCTGGTATTGCTGTATTTCCAGATTCTCTTTGCTCCCTTGAGCTGTTTGAATAACTATGATATGCTGCTAACTTCCAAATCCACATCTCTGTGGCTCCAGGTACCTTCAAACTCAGTATGCCTGACAAGGAACTCATTTTTTAATTTTTTGGAGATGGAGACTTTGTTGCCTAGGCTGGAGTGCAGTGGTACAATCTCGGCTCACTGCAATCTCTGCCTCCTGAGTTCAAGTGATTCTCCCGCCTCAGCCTCCCGAGTAGCTGGGATTATAGGTGCCCACGACCATGCCCAGCTAATTTTTGTATTTTTAGGGGTTTCGCCATGTTGGCCAGGCTGGTCTTGGACTCCTGACCTCAGATGATCCACCTGCTTTGGCCTCCCAAAGTGCTGGGATTACAGGTGCAAGTCACCGTGCCCAGCCAAGGAACTCATTTTCTTTTTCCCAAACCTGCCCATTCTAGTCTGCTGAATGAAACTGCCAGGCAGCTAGTCACCTAAGATTATCCTGGAGTCATATGGGGCCATCCCCTTTCCTCATGTCCTGTATCTAATCAATCTTGTCATTTCTACCTCTTTGAACTCTTGAATCTGTTTCTCTTTTCCACCTTCACATTGCGGCTGCCTGGGGTCGGGTCCACCTCCTATCTTGCCCGGGCTATGGGCTTTGCCTCCTCTTTGGTTTCCTTACAACCATTCTTGTCCTCCTCCAGCCAGCCTCTGTAAAAAGTTCAAATTCACTTGGTTCAGCAAAGTGATCTTCCTAAAACACAATATGATCAGATTACAAATATGATCAGTTTAGCCTTTCCTAAAACACAAACATTATCAATTTACACTTAGAGGTCCAAGTGTACTGAAGAGGGTCTCTTATTAGACTCCCGATCCAGTGTGCTCCATTTCCACGTAGACTTCCACGTCTGCCTAGCTCACCAACATTACCTTTCCACTCTCCACCATCTTCAACCTGTATCTTCCTGGGTGTGCCGCTAGGCTGCTCACGGTTCTAAACGCCAGGCAAAACAGTCTCCTGCCATCTCCTGCCCTCCCGACACAGGCCTATCTGGGGAGGACTCTTTGATCTTCCAAGAATCAGCGTAGCCTATCTCTTTGTGAAACCTTTCCCAGCTCCTCAGCCTGTCCCCTCACAGCTGAATCACTCATGTCCCCTGAGTGGCCTGCATTGGCTCTTTACAGGCTTGTGTCCTCGCAGAGATAACCTGTTGCTGCTCTTTTTCTCATGCTTTTCTCTATTAGATTTTAAGTTCCATGAAGGCAAGGACTATGACTTATTCACGTCTATATGTCGTGACTGGTATACTGTAGGTACTCAGTAAGTGCTTGTGGCATGGATGAGTGAAGATGAGCTATTGCCTTCTTGGAATGAATGACCCTGCTGCTCAGCAAGGCAAATGATCCCCTAGGTAGTGGTGCTTCTGTGCGTTGTGACCAACATGGCAGCTGTCACACTGACTCGTCACTCTAGTCAGTGGGACTAAGGTGTAAGACTTTCTCCTAGAGAAGTGGCTCCTGCTAGCTCTAGGGACTCTCATGACAAAGAGAGCAGAGGGGAAAAGCAGTTCATAGACTATGATGTGGGTCCAGCCCTAAGATTAAGAAGGTTTACAAGGCCGGGCACGGTGACTTATGCCTGTAATCCCAACACTTTGGGAGGCCAAGGCAGGCGGATCACAAGATCAGGAGTTCGAGAGCAGCCTGGCCAATGTGGTGAAACCCTGTCTCTACTAAAAATACAAAAATTAGCCAGGCACGGTGGCATGTGCCTGTAGTCCCAGCTACTTGGGAGGCTGAGGCAGAAGAATTGCTTGAGCCCAGGAGGCGGAGGTTGCGGTGAGCCAAGATCATGCCGCTATACTCCAGCCTGGGTGACACAGCAAGACTCCATCTCAAAAAAAAAAAAAAAAAAAAGAAAAGAAAAGAAAAGAAATTTAAAAAAAGAAAAAGAAAAAGAAAAAAAAAGAAAGAAGGCTTATGAAAATGGACACTTACTGAGGCCTTCAGGGAGGGTGAGGAGAGCTAGGAGGAAGCATCCTTGGGCCAGGCTGTGGGAAGGAGCGAAGGGCACAGGTAGGAATTAGGCAGTCCCTATGTAGTGCAGGACCTAAAAGGAAGGTAGACACATCACCTAGGAAAGCTCTAGTTTGGAGATGCCCCAAACTCTCACAAATGGGGTGTGAGGCATATGATTCACCCCTCCCCCGCTCCACCTCATGTCCCACCTTCAGCTGGGTCCTGAAGACTAGTCCCCAGAAAAGCAGGAGATGCTATGGTGTTGAAGAAAGCACAGGACCAGTAGGCCGTGGCTTTAATGATGGATTGTATGTGAGCCTGGGTAAATCGCTTACCTTCTCTAAGTCTCAGTTGCTTCATCAGGGCACACTCTGACATGCCTCAACCACTTCCTAGGATTGTAGTGAAGGTCAACTCATAATGATGATGATAGCTATTCTTTTTAGATCACTTCCTATGTGTCAGAGATTATGCTAAACACTTTACCATATTTTATCAATACTAACAACATCTCTATGACATAGAACTATTATTAGCTGCATTTTACAAGATGAGTAAATTGAGGTTTAGCGAGGTAAAGTATCTGCCCAAAGTCCAATGCTATCAAGTGAGCTGATGGAGCTGACAGAGGCGGCATTTCGTCTGTGGAGCCAGCATTCTGGTTCCCTGATCTGTATATTTAGCTGTGTGGCTGACTTTACTGTCTAGGAGTGAAGCAACCACAGGTCCCCTCTGGGACCCCTGGCCTCGCAGCCACAGTGGCAGCACTTAGCGAAGAATAAGGAAAGACACCTCTTTCCCCCTTGGCTTCAGAGATGTGCTCCTGAGGAGTTGGCTTTCCCTTCCTAACTGCAGGGGTTGGTGACTGTACTGGGTTGAATAGTGTCCACCCAAAATTCGTATCTACCAGGAACCTGTGAATGTAATCTTACTTGGAAGGAGGATCTTAGCAGATGTAACCAATTAAGATCATTTGCACTCATACTGGATTAGGGTGGGCCCTAATCCAACGACTGGTATCCTTATAAGAAGAGAGAAACGTGGACTGAGATGTAGACGTAGAGGGAAGATAACCATGTGAAGACATGGGGTTATGCTTCCGCAAACCAAACAACACCAAGGATCCTGGGAACCACCAGAAGCTAGAAGAGGCAAGGAAGGATTCTTCCTAGAGCATTCAGAGAGCACATGGCCCTGCCAACACCATGGTTTCAGATTTCTAGCCTCCAGAACAGTGAGAGAATACATTTGTTATTTTAAGCTACCCAGTTTGGTAGTAGGAAACTAACACAGTAACCTAGCACTGTGTGCACCACAGCTGGGTGGACAGAGCATGGATTGGAAACCACCTAGATGGACTAGGTGGGGTGAGCCTATTTGTGGCAGATGAGGGAGAGGAGAATAAGTTATTTACTCATTCAGCTACACTGACCAACTTGTAGACAATGCCTCCCCATGACTTTATGTGATTGTGTGTACACTGTGTCTGGCGAGTGTGTTTTCAGCTTTATCTTTTCCGGATATGATAATGGGAGTTCTTCACATTGGTGAAACTTAGAAGGTGAGAATTCCATATAATAAATTGTTCCCCCTACCTCTAGCTGTCCTTACCACCCCTAGATCTCAGATGGTGAAACTGTACTTAAAGAGGTTCAAACCTTGCCCAAGTTTTCAGTTAGTAAGAAGCAGAATTCAGATCCAGAATTATCTGACTGCAAAAATTCTGCCCTTTCCATTATATCAAGTTCTTTCTCAAGCTAAAGAAACTGACCTCTTTTCGGAAAGATATGGAGTGATTTGTTTACTTTCTTAAGCATTTTTTCTAGATTTGAAAGTAACATTTATTTGAAAAATATTTAAAAATTATTGAAATGGTAAAATAAAAAGTTAAAAAAAAATGGCAATAACTACTGTTACTATTGGGTAAATATCCTTCCAGTCTTTTTTTCCTATAAATACATATTATCAATACAATTTGAATAATGCTGTGAACAGTTTTGCATTTTGTTTTAATTTAACATTATCTTGTAAGCATTTTCTCATGTCATAAGTTTTTGTAGACAGGATTTTAAATTACTAAATAATGTTTCATCATATGGATGGGCCATAATTTAACATTTTCTATTATTGTCTACTTAGTTTCCACCTTTTTACAATAATAAATATACAAGTTAACATTTTTAATAAACATCTGTCCTCTTATTATTTCTTGAAGACAGGGGATCATACTGGGTAAATGGATATGAATATTCTAAGGCATTTGATGCATAATGACAATTGTTTACCAAAAGGGTTCTACCTACCCGCCCAGTCAGAGTGCCTGACACGGCACCCTTACCCATACTGTCATCAGTAAAGATCTTTGCTGTGTTCTGAAAAGGAGCATGCTGCAATTCCATCACACAGGCTACCGCGTCCAGAGGATAGCAGGGGGCAAAACCAAGCAGGGAAACCAGTTAGGAGACCGTGGCGATTATCCCAGGGGACGCGCTGGGGGCTTGCGGCTAGGCGCAGGGATGGAGGAACTGGAACACGCACGGGATTCGTAGAATATTCGACAGGGGCGGGGGATCGACTCTGATAAGATAATTCTGCGTTGCGTGGGGTGCAGGAGAGGGAGGAGACTGCACGTTCGGCTCCGGCCTCCTCCGCGCCGGGCTCGGCACCGATCCGCGAGGTTGGCCGAGGCGTGAGCCCCGCCCACCCCTTTAACAGGGACACTCCCCTTTAAGGCGGGCGCCCGCGCGCGCCCCGGCCCCGCCCTTCGGGGGCGCGCGCGGCGGCCGCGGCGCCGGCTCCGCCGGGAGTGCACGTGCCGGCGCCGGGCGGAGGAGAGGGAGGCGGGAGCCGGGCAGCGGGAGGAGGGGAGGCGCCGGGGGCGCGCGCGCGCGCTGGGCGCTGCTGGGCTGCGGCGGCGGCGGCGGCGGCGGCGGTTACTATGGCGGAGTCGGCCAGAGCCTCCTCCTTCTTCCCCCTTGTTGTCCTCCTGCTCGCCGGCAGCGGCGGGTCCGGGCCCCGGGGGATCCAGGGTGAGTCCTGGGGCGGGGGGCGGGGGCCGGGATGGAGAGGGCTGGGCGAGGGCGAGGCCTCGAGCCGCGGCCGCTGGGCTACAGCGCGCCCCCTCCCCACGCGCACAATATGGCCGGGTGGGGGGCGCGGAGGAGTCGGGGTGACCCCCAGTCAGCTTCCCAGACCTCGGAGGCGCGGCTGCCCTTCGGCGGCGGAGCTCACGCCGGGCCCCTTGGGACCCGAGCCCTGTTCCAGGCGGAACTGGATTCGGGCAGCTCTCGGGGGTCGCGCTCCCAGCGCCCTCATGTTCCATAGAGGGGAGCCCGAGCTTCCAGCCTCAAGATTTGGAGGTCCATGGTTTCTGTCCTTCACCGTGTCCAGGGGCGGGGGGCTTTCTTCCCTCCCTCCAGATGCTCCTGGGGGGCATCTTTCTCCCGCCAAGATTGTGGGGTTCGGGCGGTGGGGTCTTAGCCTCTCCGAGGGATCCTGATGTTGAGAGCCCGCGCACCTCGAGACTGTAGGGGAAGGGGTCTCTAACCTTTCCTTCAGGTCCTGCACTTGGCGTGTTTCTTCCCCTCCCTCTCCTGCCTCCCTAATGTTCTGGGAAAGGGAGTCACATTTCCCCTTCACTCAATCCCTTGAGTTCAGTGGGGCAATCCCCCCCTCCGCCCTCCGGCACACATGCCCCGTGGAGGCTATTTGGAGGAAGTGGGACGAACAGGCCCCTAAACCTTTTTGGAGCCTAGCTTTGGAATCCCTAACCCTATGGAACCGAGTTCCCCAAGGGTTGATCTGAATCTAGGTGTATTTGCTTTCCTCCTCGCTTCCCCTACCCTACCCCGGGGGGCCCATTCAGTTAATCACTTTGTGGATGCCTTTCAGGTGAAATCTTAGAACGTGTCTCCAACCCCCCAAGATTATTTAAAGATCCCACCACCGGACTGTATCCCCGGCCCTTGGTCAGTACTTATTTACCTTCCTACACGATGCCTCTTCCCAGCCCGCCCACCCTCACACACCCCTTACCTTCCAATCCCCACAGTCTGCGGCTCGCCTTATACCACCCCCACTCTCCCCTCTGTAGAAGCGGGTACCTTTTTGCGGGACACTCCGCTGGCTGTGTTGTTTTTGAGGCTTTGGGGGCTGAGAAGAGCAGATGAAACCCTAAAATATTTCATTTAAGAGAGTCCTGGCGAATGTGTTTTGGTCTTGAGGTAGTAGATGAAGGTTATATTTGGCAGTTATATTGAAGCGATTATTGACCCACAGATGGATCTGGGAGAGATGATCAGGATTGTATTCGCTCCCAATGTACAAAGCCTGCTGCTTTGACTTCTCAGCAGCCCCTAACCTTCCAGCAATGGGAGATCAAGTGTGTTCTGTGGCTCTCTTCTCCCCTAAAAATAATGATTCTCAGGTGGGTTCAGTCGTCTTTAATAAACCAGACAGTCAAGAAAAGACACCATGCCACTTTGGAGTCTCAAAAACAAGTTCATTATCTCCGGCTTTGATATTTGTTCCCAGTGGTGGAGCCTGTGCAGCGGGGTCTTTGTTCACGGGCTAATGCTTCTGCTAAGCACCTCGTGTGTGTTCTTCGGCCTCACTGCTCTGTGGCTGAGGGGTTTGAGAAACATGGTGAAGGTGTATGAACCGAGCTTGACATTTGTGGTGAGATAATGATTTGCATGAATAAGGATGTTCATCGGGCCTTATTAAGGACCGTTTTTTGGAATGTGTAACATAATGTTCTCTACTGGGGTAGAAAAAAAAAAGGGGGAGATTGAACCTCTAGGTTTGCCATGTTATTTGTGTATGTATAAATCTTTAAATTCCTCGTATAGGAATTTTTATCCTGCCCCTTATCCAGGATTTTTAACAGTCATTTCCCTGCTGATTTGATGTAGTGTTTGTGGGGTTTTTCTGGTTGTGAGCCTAGTTAAGAATGTTTGATAATCCAATTGGTTCTGATTGGGGCAGAGTTCATTTTTTTGTAATCTTCCTAAAATGGATGTTTGTGGGGGTTAAGGTGGGTGGGTAAAATAGGGAGTTCGTTTCTTTTTTTGGTAAATTGGAAATTAGGTTGTGTGTCCAGCAAACATTCTCCAGGGCCTTTAAACTTCTTGGCCAGACACTACAGTTTTTTCCGGGACACGTCTAGTTGCCAGTAGTGCATGCTATGGAGACCACTGCTGCAAAAGGCTTAAAGTAAAACGTCAGTTCTGGGAA